GGATTAGAGGCTGAACCCAGGGTCTCATGCATGGCTGGTAAGCATTCTATCACGGAGCTACATCCCCAGCCCAAGTTTATTTTATCTTGTTACCCAAAGATTCTGAAAATGAATGTAACTTAAAACAAACTAGAGTCACTTTCAGCTTCTGTAGTTAGGCAATAAGAAGTTTAATCGAATATAACAGGTATTAGGAAAAATTCTTTATGCTCTTCACATAAACAGTTTTTCAAATCTTGAACAATTTGCTGGGCTGTCTGTACGTTTCCTTACCCATCTTTCTCCATTCCATGCAGTGAGTCTAGAGAGGAAAATCTTGAAGAGTAGAATCCCAGCCGCCCCAGGAAGATTACAAAAGCAAACAGATGCAGGCTGAATCCTGCCCCCCAACTCCATGGTTACTACTAAGACAAGGAAGAAACAAGGGAAAAGTCAAGAATTGTTTTTCTAGGAAATAAGTATGGGTCAGCCTTCACATACTAACAGGGTCTAATTTCCTCCTTATAATCAGGGGAGTTAGTGTTAGAAATCTCTTGCTCCTTAATACTCATGTCAGATTGGCCTCTAGGAATGGAAAGTTGTCCCTGAGAGCGTATATAGGTACTGTGTGACAAATTTGTCACAGAAATGAAGGAACTTAGATGATTTGTTCCTCCTAACAACCCCGTAAGGAACCACTAAAGTCAGGTGGTAAGCTACATTGGTGGCATTCATTCTTGGGATGTTTGATCCCCCAAACTTATGCTATAGTATTTCTCACAGGACTTGAAAGAAGAGAACAATGTGTTGGCTCTCGGCAGCAATGCTCACTATGGAAGATGATTAGCAAAAACATGTTTTCATTTTCACTATTATGATTTTCCCTGAGTTATAGACACAAAGTACCACAAGGGATTGATGGCACAGTTCTTCATGTCTGATTTCTGTAGCAAATTCCACATCAAGGTCTAATATATGAAAAGTGAGCCTGTGGCATGAAGTTAGAAGAGGTGGAAATGTATAATTCCTCATCAGGTACTCGGATGTACATTGAAAGATTCATAACCCAAACCATAGTCAGAAAACTAACAAAAACAGTGACTGTTTATAAACCAACCAGTCCATGAATATTCATTCTAATCACTGTACAGTAATCAATTAGTAGTATGCACAGCAAGAACAATATGAACTCTGGGGCTACAGATTGCAGAACTGAATAAATCATCATTTTAAAATGACACAGCTAAAGATAATGCATATTCCTTTCTGGATGAAAATTAATTTTATGTTTCATTGTGAAATAAATAAAAAAATATATGAGGGGCAAAATTTAGATATTAGTGTCTATTGCTACAAATATAGGTCAAGAAAAATATTACTCCAGTTATTTGACTACACGGTTTCAATGTTTATATTGTGTTAAGACTGAAAGACAAAAACATGAGCTTGCCATATTCCTTAATGTTTAATTCAAAACAAGGGGTTTATTCAAAGCACATGATAATGCATTAGTCATACTATTAACAGAAAGGATTAAGGTATTTTCTGGTTATTTTAAGTTCATCATTCATAAATCAAATGGTGTATCAAATGTTTTGGTAGTTTAGGTTGTAAATATGACCTTTCAACTAACTGTTGCCAGAAAAGCAAAACAACAATCAGAATCAAAAGTTTCTAAAAGCAAACTCAACTAGAACTATCAAGGAGTAAAATAGAGTAACCACAATTACGCTTATTTAAAATTATCTCTGAAAGTTTGTTATAATCAGTATCAGACATTTGCTGTATGTTTTTCAGAACTGTTTTAAGTTATTCGGCAATTCATTCTTCTAAGTTTCTGACACTCTTAATGAATGTGTGTGTGTGTGTGTGTGTGTGTGTGTGTGTGTGTGTGTTTGTAATAGCGGTAGTATGGAAAGAAACAGATGGGATGCTCAACAAACTGCATCTGCCCACACGAGTGCAGGTCCCACTCCAGACCTAAAATGGCTGAGCTGCAGCATGGTGTTGCTTGGTGACCAAATGGTATCTCCTCAGCCACAGAGCAATCTAAACATCAGTGACAGATAGGTCCCTTCAGCTTCAGACACAGCCAGGACAAATATTAAAAGGCATATTTATCTTTTCCAGTAGTGGACAATTTTCAAATCAGTTGTCACTTGCTCAATTTTATCATCAGTTAAATTTGAGGTTTAGAGGCAGGAGTGTTTGCAAAGCTACAGCTGTTATTTTGGGAAAATAAGAAGTAGAACCAAGTCTCCTTAACTAGGAGACTGAAAGTCTTATTGCAATTCTATATGTCCATGTGGGATGTCTACTCTGTTTTGTATAACCTCCCAGTTGCTATCTGTCTCCCTTTCTTTCATTAAACTAAAGTAGTTAATTATCCTGGGCCTGTCCTCTCCCCTTTCTCTTGCCTTTTTTGCAGTAGTAATAATGTCTAATTATCAGCAGCAATGCATTACCGCCACATCAGGAGCAAAACATCTCTCACTGACAGCAAGCCAGCTAGGAACCCTCGAACCTCAAGGAGCTTAGGATGATTCTTACTCGAAAATACCATCCAAGCACAACATTTCATTTCAAACAATACATGACGTTGAATTAAAAGAAAAAATATATTTTGTGTTGGTGATTGTACTCCTGCTATAATAAAGAAAAATCAACATGTTTTTTAAGAGAGAAATAATTTGAGATGTGGGAACAGGATAAAAGGGATCATTTATTTATTTTTTAACTCATTGAAATGATGATTGGCTGTCTCTCAGAGAAGGTGGAGCCTGTAATTCTATGTCAGGAGCAGAAAATTTTCATAAAGAGCAATAGAAGAGTTCATGAATTAAAAAAAAAAAAACCTCCTCGACATTTCCAAACAGGCTTGAATGAAAATCAGAGCTCATAAATACTACATGGAAATCATTATCTAAGAATATCACCCGACAGATTACACTTTCTCTGTTAAATATATGGAATCTTTATTGGAAAGAGAAACACGTGTTCCTTTATTATTACCCCGGAGTTGTCATTCTATAGTAGACTTCTTAGCAATATTTTTTTTTTACAACTCTGCATTAATTTTTGACTGACACATGGGTATTAGAGAATGGGAACGCTGGCTTGAATAACAGACATAGATGATTAAATTAGTGCCTCTAAAACCATTTTGGAATTTGTTATTTACAATTTTTAATCAATATTTTAAAAGCACATATATGTTAATACATATAATGGATGTAGCCAAATCTATACAACTCATTTGACTGATGCATAAGTCAAGCTAACCAGACAGCTAAACAGTGGGACTCAAGTTTAACAAAAAGAATGAAAAACAAACTTCCCAGCTACCAATGTTTCCTTAAAGCTGATATGATATTAAATAGTATTTTAAGTAAACACATCTTTAAAAATTATTTTATCTATTCATCTAGAATTCTAATTTACTTGGTCTAACAATAAATGATTTAATAGATTTCTTAACGTTATTCCTAATACAAAAAAAAATCACAGGCTTCTGGCTCATGCAGATGTAAATAAACCTCAGTACTAATTCATGCCAATCTAGTCCTCATCATTTAGTAAACCAAAACAATAATCTGACCATTGTCTTTAGCAGTGTCACACGTCGTCAAATAAGACTATACCTGTAAATCTACCTCTCTGAAATCTTCCAACAATATTACATTTTTAAAAACAACAACTTTTATGTGTTTGTTTCACCTTTATTTTCATTTCCCATTTTCTGCATAAATTCCAAAAGAAATACACATCCTCAAATCAACAATTCCTAATTAATCTCAGGCAACCACAAACTGTTTCCAACCCTGAAAGGGTCCACCAAATAATGCTTTAAAAAGCTTTCCATGCACATTATTTCCAAGTTCATATACCTCCCTTAGAGATAGGGAAGCCTTCAAGACACCTCCTTTTTAGCATCATCCAGGAATATTGCACGAGGAAACAGTTGCCAGTGAGGGGAGGGGGGAGCAAAAGCTCCAGAAATCCCAAAGAGGCAAAAATACAAAGGGTGCCAGATAGCCTCCCCCACCCTTACTCCAGGCGAGTACCCACCGTAGCATGAGGCAGAAAGGTCTTATGCATCTGATCTGCAGTCCTACTTGTAGCCCACAGTTCCCATCTTCTTGCAAAGGAGATCCACACTGCTGCCGCTCCCCAGCCCCATAGGCAGATCTGCGTGTGAAGCTGAGATGTACTGACTCTCACTGCCAGTACCTCACAGTGCCCTGGCTTTGTAGCCTAGAGACTACAGCCACCCAAGAACGACGAATAAATACACCATTTGATCGCGCCCAAACCCATCTCTCTTTGTTGTTCATCCTCTAGCTGCGGCTTTATTTGTGCATCGGGCAAGTGAAGAAGGCGACGGGGGTGGGGGAGGAGGAATCTCTAGGACCTTATCTATAATCTAAACAGTCCTGGCCGTGATCTCCGGCAGTGATCAAGGCATTCGGACTGCCCCGGGACTCCCAGGCAGCGGTCTAACAATAAAACCTGACAGTGGTCCTGGGGAAAACCTCACATCCACCACTAGCACCACATTCAGGCTTTGTGCCAATGAGGAGACACTGTAGACTATGGATCAGAATCGTCTGTTATCAGAGCGTGATGCTGGGGTTCCAGCCTGGCCTCTAGGCGCGGTAGCGGCGGTGGGACAAGTGCCAGGCTCCTAGCTAAGGATGTGGGACAATGGCCCAGCCCGAGGACGCAGGACGCCGCCCGACCCGGGGAAGGAAGCCGCGGCAGCGGGTCCTGGAGCCGGGAGGCGGGGAGGATGGACCGCTCTGGATGTGCGCTGCCGCTTTAAAATAAAGGACCACAAAGACTTGTCGGTGGGGAAATCGCGCCTGGCTAATGCGAGTGGGGACGACTTGGGGAGGGGGTTGGGGAAGGTGGGGGCACACGAGCCAACAGTGGCTCACGGCTCCCCCTCTCTCCCCCCTCTCTCCGCCCTCCCCGCCGGGCTGCTTGGGCAGACAAATAACAGAGGAAGGCGAGTCACTCACCGTGGTCTTGACCGGCACGTAGAGCACTTGCTTGGCGCCGCCGCCTCCCCCGCGGACCTCATCGGGCTGGCCCAGCTGGAAGCCCTTCGATTTGACCCAGAATTTAAATTTGGCGTTGTCCGTGGAGCTCGACTCGGAGCCGTTGAGGAGCTGGACGATCCGCTCGTATTTTTTACGGGTCACCGTCTTGGTCTTCCCTGAGTCCCCGTAAGTCCTAAGGCACCAGTCCTGGAACTGGCGATACATGTCGCGCTCGCTCTCCATGTTCCCGGTGCCCGGCCGTCGGCCGGATGCTCCCAGCGCACTTCGCACCTGTTCACCCCGGGCTCATGAAAAATGCAGCCCTGGCCACGATGCGGGGACGTGAGGTCCCGGCCGCCGCGGGAGCCTGCCTCGTGTGGGGTGGGGGAGGAACCGGGAGAGGGGAGGAGGGTCCGGTTGGGCACCAGCAATCAATGCCCCATGCTACCGAGTCTGGTTTATTCCTAATTGCAAGGGATGTCTCAGACACTCTTCTCGTCCTCTTAGTGATCGGTCTCTTTAATATTGTGTGACCAGGACCATCCCAACAGCATCTGGTCCAGAGAAGCTGTGTTTTGAATAATTAAAATCCCATTCCTTGGTTTTATTAAAAATCCCAATATTGATTTGGGTTCGTCCCTCGACGCCTCGCCCCAGCGTTGCGTCCCGGGCAGGGCAGGTGGAGCGCAACACCGCCCTACCCTCGCGCGCCCCAGAAGCTACCCCAGTGGCTGGTCTGTGGTCCAGGAACCAGGGCTTCGCCTCTCCCGATAGCAGTTACCCGGCCGAGCCCGGGAGCCCCGAAGGGCACACGGGTCCCTGGGCTCTCCTTCCTCCTGGGTCCTGCTCTGATTCGGCCTCCTCTGCGACAGTCGTTAAGAGACTAGAAAGAGAGAAAGTTCTTACCTGTCATGTTTGTAAGCCTATCAAATCCTGTTTTAGGGGTTTAAGAAAACCAAGGTATTTTTAAAAACAGTTTAAAATGTCATTTCTTTAGAAGCATTGGGCATCATTCCAGCCCCACATGTAGGTTCCAGGAGTTAAGTCCCAGAAATTCATAGAAATTTGACCATAGTTCTATAGAATAGATGTAGTACCCCAAACAGACATCCGATCCAGAGAGAGAGGTGGGTAAAGGAAAGCAGGCCGCTGGCGGCAGGTCTCCTGGATAATGATGGGGCCCCCAGACAGGACTCCTCTGGTTTCTGCTGAAGTGGGTACAAGACATAGAAGTAAGTTTATGGTACAGATGCTTGAAACCCTTTGGATGGAATTAAAATACAGAGAGAAATCATTTTTCCCTTGCTTGGTCACAGTTTGCAATTCACACAGGAGGTTTCGGTTGTCTATTTTCCCCCTGCCACGTCATGGACACCCCCTCCACTGCTCAGAGTAGCCAAATTTGAGTTCCTCTGGACGATTTTCCCAAGCAAATGAAGTCAGCGGTTTCTCCATTCAGGATTTCCATCCGTTTGTTACAGTGCTGGATATAGGGGAGTTCCCATCCTCCTCGCGCAGTGGCTGCGGCCGCTCCTCTTTATTCCACTCTCTGTTGAGGCCCGCGCCTGTCCCAGGGAGCGGCTCTGCCAGGAAGGCGGCCCGACCAGTGCCCGGCGCCTGGTCGGCGTCGGAGCCCACGCTCGCTACTCGTCGTCCTCTCCCAGACGAAAACCCAGAATGGGAACGCGGAGTGTTTGTGCCCACCGCGCTGCAGCTGGTCCCAGCACTTGCAAAATGGTCAGTGGCTCCTGCTCGGCCAGGCTGAGTGTGTGCGTGTGTGTGAGCAAGGGAGCGAGGGTGTGCGGTGTGTGGGGGGTGCGCTGTGTGGGGGGTGCGCTGTGTGTGTGCGCGTCTCCGGGAAGGTCTCGCGCCGCGGCTGGAGCAGGGACTGACAGCCCGGGCGGAGCGCGAGCAGCTCCACACACTAAACCTCTCGCCTCTCCCCTCACCCCCACCCCTCCCACTCCCCTCTCCTCCCACCCCCCACCCCCTGGCCCCTTCCAAGCTCTCTGATTGGCCAATGGGACAAAAGTTTCTGTGGAGACGGCTGGGCGCTGACGTCACGGGCAGAATTGTCCCATTTAGGGATCCCGGGGGCAGTGCGCATGCTGCAGGCTGCAGGTTAGAGGCGGGAGGAGGTAGCAGCGGGCCGGGCGGCAGCCAGGTGGCGGAAAGGAGCAGGCAGCATCCAGGTGGGGGGACGACTCCAGCAGGGTTTCCATGGAGATTTCCTCTGGGTCTAGCCTAAAAACAGCAGATCAGCTGACACCATTAGCTCAGGACCTAATTACTGCTTATTGGAGCAACAAATGAGGGAGAGGGCCAGCTGCAAAGGAAGAGTTTTTATCCCCCCTCCATCTCCTCCTTTCTCCCCCTCTCTCCATCGCTCTTGAGTCCCGGGTGAATTCTCATTAACTTGCAAGATTCCTGCAACAACAGCTCCCCTTCTCCTGAGGCCACCCTGACTGCTTTTATTCTTTTTATTTCCTTCTTTTGTATAAAAAAGAAATGCTAAATTAAATCAGTTGTTCTGAGTCCTTGTATTTTTGCCCAATAAAAATTAGACCGATAGAACTCAGAGAAGCCACTGTCCAATAGAAGTCACAAGTGAATCTAATACGTGTGTATGGTGTGTGTGTGTGTGTGGGGGGTCACTTTCAATTTATTGAATTGAGTATTTATCTTTAGGTCTTTCACGTTTTTAAAGAAAAAAAAATCGCAGTATCTTAAATACATAAATAGTTGAAAGAAACAATTGGAGGGAAGTTTTGTTTTGAATCACCCTTTTTAAGTGTAGTATATTTCACAAGAACAACTCTGAAAAAGTTTCCCTTGAGGCATGAGAGATAAGAGATGATTCCAAGTCAGGAAATCAAAGTTTTATTGTTTATTGGTAAGTTGTTTCCTAGAAGTTTTTGGAAGGATCCTTGGTACTGGGGTAGCAGTTCATTCAAGAATAAGCTAATTCTATGAAGTTTACTTTGTTATGGATATAATTTAATTTACAATTACAGATTTCTTTTTATAGCTCTTTATTCTGAAAAGCCTCATACAAGTCCTTCCAGCCCCAAAGAAGCCTGACTTCTTTGGCCATTCATAATAAAATAATTGGTTTCTCCTCTGGGTAGTGTCTTTCAAACATTATTTAAACCCTGTTTTATATTAAGCATACATTTTACCTTGGATACATACATCTGTCCTCTACACATCTTATGAAAAAATCCATTTTCTTACTCACAATGCACATATTTCTATTAACATATTTGACATTATTTTTCTTCCTCATTATGTTATTGGAAAAGTATGATTCCTGACCAGATTTCTTTTATGACCTAGGAGAGGGTGATTGCCAATCTATAGTTTGAAAAACATTATTTTGGATCTGAAGAACTCTACTGTTCCTTGTGTTCTTATTTTCAAGCATATTTCATTATTCAAATAAAATATTTTTATTTTAAGACCTTTTAAGTTTACATTTTCATGGTTGGCATGTTAACTTTGGCATGATGAACAATGTACAGAGTAAGTGCTTAATTAGTAAATACTCAACTGGTAAGTTAAGGAAGGAGAGAGAGAAGCAGGCAGATGAAATCCTGATCCATCTCTGCTGACCTTTCCTGGGTGGTGGTTGGATGAAGTTGGTTCTCACTTAAGGAAATGCTGGGGATTTACCACATACAGGTGTACTTTATATTTATAACTACACCTGACACCTTACTGTCTGAAAATTAGAACATGCTCACATAAAGAACTAGTGAAATGCAAACAAATATGTCATCAAAGCTCACTTGTATTAACTTGATCTGATACAGAAGAAAAATATGAAAATTCAAATAAATTGTCCCAAAATGCATGCTTTTGAGAAGGAAGAGGTAAATGATTAACTGTTGAAAGAATGTTCAAATTGGAGCAAAGGAATAGAGAATAGGATTTCAAAGGCCAGTCTTCTTAAAGTCTGAAGATTTTCTTGCCACCAGTGGACCCGAAGTATGATCTGCTCCAGTCAACACCTTTTACCCTATCTGGATCACTTCACAGCATGAACAACTCACAAAATTGAAAATCTGCTTCAGCAATTACTCTGGACTCATTTCCCTCCTTTTAACTTCTCTAGAGTTAGGTCTTCCCAGCTCCACCTCTAGGGTCATACTGAGCCTCTTTTTCAGCTATGATTCATTTGAACAGGCTGCCTGGAATGCAACTTGGCATTTCCTTCAGAATTGCCTTTGCTTAGAGCATATCTTTCCAAAAAGTGGTTCTTCACTCTATGTCTTAATGCCAGTCCTCAATCTGTTCCTAACCTAGACCCAGGATTTTGCTTGCCTGGCAGGCACAAGAAGAAGTTAAAGGAAGGTGAAAATTGTTATATTACAAATTTATTTTTATTGTAAAAATCCAAAATTTGAGCCATAATCAATATTATTTTGTTACAAAAGTAAAATTTCTTTAAACCTCACAGTCAGTTTGTATATTATGGAAAATAATTTCAGAATGAATCACAACACTAGATTCATCTGCAGAATTTGACCTTGCAAATAACTCAGAATCTATATAATCACAAAATCATAGTTCAAAAGGTAAACAGCCTTCATTGATCCATTCATATAATTATGTTTTCATTCAGGAAATAACCACTGAGTACCAATTACTGAAGAGGCTCTTGTGTTAGAGTCATCAATAGAATGGATGTACATACATGTTTTTGACCTTATAGAACTCAAATGTTTCTAAAGAAAACAGATCATAACCAAGAAAATGATTAGAAATTAGAAAATAATTATTTTTTTCCTTAGAGGAAAAATAAATGGTGCTATAAGAGAAAAAAATGATAGTGGGGAGGTGATTGGTGGACCTATTGAAGATCTAAGTAGGTAATATTTAGCATGAGACCTGAAGAATGCAGAGGAGTCCATCACACTGAGGAAGATTCAGGAACAGAAACTATAGACAAACCACAAAGATCCCAAAGTATTGGAGTCTGAGGTATGTTTGAGAAATCTATCGAAACTGGAGCTTATTGGGTTTGAAAGAAAGAAGTAGAATATAAGATCCGAGTCATCTTTTATAGCCAGATCTTGTGGGGCATTGCATTATGTTTTATTACCCACTCAGTCAAAAAACAATAAAGTATTTAAAGCAGAAGAATTACACAGTGTGCATTTCTTTGTGAGTTTTACTGGATGTTCAGAGAAAAAGTTATTGGAAGGGGTAAGCATGGAAACAGGAAGACTTCTTAGACCTAAAGTGGCAATAATTGTATTAACATCAGTAGAATATTCTAGTGACAGGTTGGAGAGGTAGAAGTAGAGGAGGAGGGAGAGAAGTGATGGACTGAAAATATGTTTTAAAAATTAAAAAAGTCTTGCAGATAGCAATGCAGTGAATGTTTTTGTCTCCTCCCACAAATTCATATCTTATAACCCGACCTTCAGGGTGAACTTAATAGAAGGTGATGGGTCTTTAAGAGTAAATGAGTCGGGAGGACTTATCCCAGAATGGGATGACTGCCTTTATAAAAGAGGTCTCAGAGTGCTCCTTTGCCCCTTTTGCCACATGAGAATACAACAGAATGTCGGCTGTCTATGAAGAGGAGTCTTATCCACCATAGAACAAATCTGTCAGCATTTTGATCTTGGGCTTGCCAACTTCCAAAACTGTGAGAAGAAAATGGTTTTATAAGCTACGTTATACTCAGTGGTTTATGAGCTACCTAGTACGTGGAATTTTGTTGTAGCAACTCAATTAGACTAATACACTCATGGATTACATGTGGCAGATAAAGGAAAGTATTGAGTCATGGATGACTACATGGTTTCTGGCTTTAGTAGTGTGTCTAGTGAAGCCATTGACTTACAGAGGGAAGTTTGAGGGAGGAACAGATTGGGAGTTGGAGGCTGAGGGAGGAGCAGAAGCAGGTTGGGGTGGAGAGGCAGGAAGAAAGAATTTAATTTCAGAGTAGTTAAATTTGAAATACCAGGAGAGTTGTTCATGTTGGGATTTGAATTTAGAAGCTTGAACTACAGTGAAAAGTCTGGGCTGAAGATATAAATATAGGGAATTTAAAGCCATAGGAATGAATGACATCACCTCTACCCACATTCCCCTCACAGAAGGGAAAGCCTCCATCTTTTAATATTGATTTTGAATATACCAATCCGATATGACTAAAATAGAATGTCATGTACCAAGTAGCATCAGTTGGCTTCTATTGGTATAATACTAGTAGTGGGAAATGCCTGAGAAAAATAGCAGAGCAATTTGGATCAATCCTTGAGTAGATCTAAACTGTTAGTGAGTTCCAAAACTTACATGGCTTTAAAATCACTTACAAAGAAAGGAGTTGAATGCTTTGGTTAGTTCTACCTATTCCGGATTAGGTTAGGACCTGGAGACACGTAAAATAGGAATCTAAAATTTGAGCACAGCCTCTGAGTGAATCAGTCATTGGAGGAATTGGATGCGGACTTTGGCTACTGAATTGAGCCGGGAAGGAAATTTGAGCCCTTTAGTTAGACTAGAAAAAATGATGGATGCACTTGCTACTTTGAAACCTGGGGGTTGGGAACATCATTATGCATTCAGATGTTTGACAGTCTATTGATAGCTCTTCCAAAGAAAAGAAATTGATAAAGGAAGCAAATAGCCAACTTCATCAGCAATCTGATTACCACATAACTTGTTAACTTTGAAAGTGAAACAATAAACAAAATTAAAGCAGAAATTTCCTATGCAGGCAGAAATTTGAGAGTGCATAAAAGATGGTCACAAATCAGTTGACTCCCTTCCTATTGAGTCTCTTCTCAAATAAGTTTGAAAATTCAGATCCCATTTAGTAAGCTGTAGGTATCCTTTGGTTCAAAAAAGATGCTTTTGAGTAAGTTTAAATACTGTGACCTTTATCACTATCATTACCAAGACACAGAGAAACACACCTTCTTATTTGTG